ATGGAAGGTAGATGAAGTTCACTATTGGCTTGTATTTGCACTATGTAACCTTGGAAGGCAATTTCAAAGAAAATGCCTAGAAACAAGCATCAGTCTGTTATCAGGCTTAAGGAAGCGCCCCGCTTCTGCTCAAGGCATTTTAGAGGAAAATAATTGACTTGTTCTAAATCTTGAGTACTTATGGTGAGTTATAAAAACCAGTCACCAGCCATATGTTCAAAGAACTTGAATGCCATTTTCTTAATTATAAAAATAATACGTGCTTGATATGAAGAGAAAAAAATCAAACAGAACAGTCGACTGCAGTAAGTCTCCCTCCTCACTCTCCATTCCATGCCCAGTGGACTTACTGTAAAAATTTTCCTGGTGGATATGTTTCTAGACATTTTTAGAGCATATACATACATACAAATTTGCCTTTTTTTTTTTTTTTTAGATTTTATTGGGGAATTGGGGAGGGGAACAGCGTTGGTGAATCGGCGAAGGGGGATAAGTTGCTGTCTTTTTTGTTCTTCAGTCTAGTTATGGAGGACGTCATTTCACTGGCCCATGTTGGTGTTATCATTGTGCCCTTCCCGGGTGAGGCAGTCGTTTGCCAGCCATTGGACGGCTGCTCACGGCGGCTCACGAAAGCTCATGCCAGCTGCCGGACAGTCCCACTGCAGCCTACGCCATTGCCAGCGACTCACGGCAGCCCAGGTTGAGCTGTTGTTCACCATCTTAGCTATAGAGGGCGCAGCGTCACTGGTCCACATGTGGGATCCCAACCCTGGTCCTGCTGCTCAGAGCTGGTGTCCCAAGCCAACTCTTAACCACTGTGCCACTTGGCCGGCCCAAATTTGCCATTTTTAAAATACAAATAGAATTATACTTCATATAATTGTTCTGTGACTTGCTTTTCTCATTTAACTCTGAATCCTGGTTATCATTCTACATCAATTCAGATTTACCAAATTCTTTTTGAAAGCTGCCAAGTATTTCATTGTATGTTTGTACCATAATTTATTTAAACATTCTTTGTTGATGGATAGTTGGGTTTTTCCAGGTTTTCACTATTATAAATAATGTTGGAAGATTTTTTTTGGGTACATTTATGCAAGATTACTTGTAGAATGGCTTTCTAAAAGAATTGCTGGGCTAAAGGGTATGGATATTTAGCATTTTCATAGATAGAGCCAACTGTGTTCTAAAAAAATGGTATGATTGCATTTCCACCAACAATGCATCAGAGTGCCAGTTTTCCCACATCCTCATCAATACTGGATATTATGAAGTTAAAAAAATAGTTCTGGGCTGGCCAAGTGGCGCGTTGATTAGGAGTTGGCTTGGGACGCCAGCTCTGAGCAGCAGGGCCCTGGTGTGGATCCCACATGAGGGCCAGTGACACTGCGCCCTCCACAGCTAAGATGGTGAACAACATCTTGACCTGGAGCTGGGCTGCTGTGAGTCGCCGGTGACAGCATAGGCAGTGGGGCTGGGCGGCAGCTGGTGTGAGCTTTCGTGAGCTGCTGAGAGCCGCCGTGAGCAGCCATCCAATGGCAGGCGAGTGACTGCCTCACCTGGGAAGAGTGCAATGATAACACCAACATGGGCCAGTGAAGCAACGTCTTCCACAACTACACTGAAGAACAAAGGACAGCAACTTGTCTGTTCCCCTCCCCTAATTCCCCGATAAAATCTTTAAAAAGTTCTGAGAGATGGTTTTAATTTGCATTTATTTCATTATGATTGTATCATGTGTTTATTAAACACATTCTTGTCTATGAATTTTCGTTCATATATTTTGTCCATTTTTCTATTGACTTTTTTCCTTACAAATATGTAAGAGCTCTTTGTATTAAGGAAGTTAGCCCTTTATTGTAGGTGTTGAAAATATTTCCCCTCTGCTTGTTTGTTGCATTGCTATAGTGTTTTTTTATGCCTTATAGAGACATAAAATATTTATGCAGAAAAATTTATTGGTGTTTTTCTGTTATGGCTTCTGGGTTTCCTGTCATGTTTAGAAAGAACATCCTTAATCTATGATTTGAAAAAGTTTTAGTATTCTTTTAATACTTATATGGTTTCATTTAAAAAATTCTAAATTATCTGATATATACAAAAGAATATGCATAATCTATAATATATGTAGGTTCTAGAGGACAATAGTAAAATAAACATCAGTGAACTAAACCTAAGAAATAGTGGTTTAGTGGTTTCATTTTTTTATATTTAAAAATATCCATCTGTAAATTTGGGGAGAGGAGTTTAGGAATACTAGGAATCTAGTTAAAAATTTGTTTTTTTTTCTGTAATGCTTTTGTTTTTCTATATAGCTATCTGGTTGTCACAACATTATTTATTAAATAATCCCCCTTTCTTCTTGGCTTCTTTTAAATAATGGTATTACATTTCTGATGTGACCTCTGTATACAAAATAAAATCACTTTTACCTGTAGTAAGATACATAAAATAACTAACAAAAGTCCTTCTTGATGTTTTCATATTCAGTAACCAAAGTAATCCCCATTTTCTAAAGCTTCCTGAAAAGAAAATAGGAAACTTTTTCTAATTTTATAGTGGGGAAACAACCCAGTGACCTCTTTCACCCTGAACAAGTTATTTAACTTCTCTAAGCCCAGTTCCTTGATCTTTAAAATGGAGATAATAATAATACACTTCATGAGCTGTAGTCAGGACTAAAGGGACTAAGAAGAAATGCAACATGCTTCACCTGACAGTTGGGACTTAATAAGATTTCAATCAATGGTTTCCTAGTTGTTCTTATTATGATGTATTGTTATTTCCTCATCAGCCTCTCAGATCTTTGGAATGAAGGCTATATTATATTCTTTGGCTTTATGACTGGACCACAGTTCTTTTTTTTTTAGAAATTTTATTGGGGAATAGTGTGTTTTTCCAGGACCCATCAACTCCAAGTGAAGTAGTTGTCTTCAATCTAGTTGTGGAGAGCTCCTTGGCCCATGAGGGAATTGAACCAGTATCCTTGGTGTTATGAGCCTGTGTTCTAACCACCTGAGCTAACCAGCTGCCCCTGGGTCACAATTTTTTTTTTTAATTTTAATTTTTTAGCTGAGCCATCCTGCTACCTGTTGGCAGCTCAGCTTGGGCCAGGAGTCGAACTGCTGTTGCTCAGAGCTTGCACTCTTCAGCGAGCTCTTAACCAACTGAGCCACTTGGCTGGCCCTATGGGCCACAATTCTTGCATGGGATTGTTATAGTTAAACAGGTCTAGTTTGCTAATTTTATGGCCCGATATGATACCATACCATTATGCTTTATAACTATGTGGAATTTTGAGACTTCCAAATCCACATTGTTATAAATAAATGAGAATGATGCCAATCCCTAATACTACAGTAAATGTAATTTCTCGATCTTGAGCGCACTTGTCTTCACTGCTGAATGGCAGCGCAGGATCCAGAGGCATCTTCTTGGAGGCGTTGTTCATTGCATCTTGGAGGCACTGTCCATTGGGCCAGCACAGGCTGAACTTGACTAGAATTAGTGCTCCTGTAGGTGTAGATTTTGATGGAAACTCAAGCCATGGAACTAATACACTTTACTCCTCATTATTTCCAAACTTATTGAATAGTTCCATCCATATCTATTATTGGTATGTTGTAAAATTCAGTTCTCACATTAGTAGATGTACAAGGTGATGCTGACCGGTCTTCCCATTTCGTAGCTGAAGGAATGGCAGCAGACAGGATTTTTCTTGCTTAAAGTTACTCAGAACAGTAATGGCAAAGACCCATTTGCTTTTAGATCTCTTGGGTCACAGTCCAGTAATATCTGCTAGTTCCAATTATTCCTAAAAGAAACCATTGGATGTGGAAATTATAATCTGAATAGATATTCCAAAGAGAAAAATGATCACTTTATTTGAAATAGATGAGTGAATTATTTTGTGCTATGTTCTATCCCTTAATTATTCTATTATGTACCGATCTGAAGTCCTTCAGGAAAAGTGTATGGTATAAGGACACCAATAAGCATTTACAGCATATTAACAAACAAACAATAGGTTGATGATTCACCCTGGATTCATGCCAGGGTCTGTGAAAGAACTCAATAAACATGATATGCATTTCAAACACTGCTAATCATAATTAAAATTTCCAAACCCTTTAATCCTATAAATTAAATAGAACGAGGATTTGGCCTGCCCCTCACTCCCCTTATAGCATCCTAGACCCTGTGATTTATCCGCCTTTGGGGAAGTGGGACAGAATACTGTAGAAGAAAGGTGATATTTAATTTTTTTTTCCAGACTTACGGCATAGAGTTAGGTACACTGCTCTCACTCTTTCTAAAATCCCCTTTCTGTCGGTGGCTATGGTCCCTTCTTTATTCCTTGATGAGACTTTTCGGGCTTTTCTTCTTCTTTTCAAAAAAGCAGCACGATCCGCCAATTTCACTTTCTCTTTCTTTATCTTCTGCCAAGGACTTATTTTGAAAACGTTAATTCTCATCAGAATTTAGAGAGTCCTTAAGCGAATCGTTCAAACCTACTTCATGTCCCCCTGAGGGATATGAACCCGCGTCTTAAGTGGTTGAAAAGGCAAATTGTGACCGTGGTAATAACAGGAGCAACTGCATTCTGGCCCATCCTGCCCCCGGGACCTGCTGGTTGCGCACCGCGATCCCCGCGCCGCACAAAGACGCGCCCGGGCGGGGAGCCCAGCCCGCCGCCCGGCCTCCTCCCAGAGCGATCGCTGGAGCCCGGGCCGCGGCGTCGCCAGAAGCCGGCCGCTCCCCACCTTCTCTTCTGCTCATTTTATTAGAAAAAAAAAAAAAAAAAAAAAAGAAAAAGAAAAAAGAAAAAAAGGGAGAAAGAAGTCCCGCCCCGTCGCCCGCCCTCCGCCTCCCATTGGCCCGGCCTCCGCTCGCGTCAGGTCGGGATGCGCCAATGGAAAGGCGCGATACTGCGAGGTGGGCCGGACCCGTGCGCGGAGTGGGCGGTGGGTCGGTGCAGCAACCCCGCCGCGGCTCGGCCTCCATCGCTGAGGCGCCGCTGCTCCCACAGACGCTCGCGAGCCGCCCCCCACGCTCCCAGCCTCGTCTTCCTCCCGCACGCCCGAGACGCTCCCCCGGCTCGGGTCTCGCCTCCGCCTCCGCCTCCCCTCGCTCGCTTCCCACATTGTCTGCCTCATTTTCTCTCCTAGTTGAGGAAAAAAACCCCCCAAAAACAAAAACCCAGCATCATCCTCAGGGAGCCCCCTCGCCCTCAGAAAAAAACAAAACCAGACATGATCCTGGGCTCTCGCTCCTGAGGGACTGGCCACGCGAGAAGGGAGCCTGGTGGAGACCGCACTAAAGGTCACGGGAGGGAAGTCCCTGCAGCCCCGCCTGTGTCCCCGCGGCCGGCCCCTGCTCGGCCCGAGCGCCGCGGCCCCCAGCCCCGCGGGCCTCCCGCCGCGTCCCCCCCACTCTCCCGGGAGCCGGCCGAACACATCTCCATTGATGGTGTAGCGCATCCGGGGAAGGTAAGTCTCCCAACTTGTCTGCGCGTGGCGTCTGCTTTTCTTTTCTGGCCCCTGGTCCTGGGCACCGGGCGTGGGGGTGGGCAGAGGGGGGTCGGTGTGGAATCCCTCGTCCGGTGTGAGCCTGAAAGCGAAGGCCCGCGTGGGGCCGCGCACGTCCAGGAACGACAGGGCGAGGGACTTCTGTGGCTCTGTCCCGGCCAGGGAACTGTCCCGCTCGCCCGCTGACCCCTGCTCTTTCTTTGCTGCTTATTCACGCTCTTGTTTGACTTGTCTGAGGTTAAAGTATTTCATGTGACTGAATTATTGGCTGAACGAGGGAGAGGAAAGGAAGTCAAGGACTTCAGACAGTACATTTCTTGAATGCATGTGGATCTGGGGGTCTTGGGGGGAGGACTTTTCTTAAAAAGTATTGTTTTCACGTTAGGGAAAGATTCCCTCTTTGTGTTCTCCATCTCGAGTTCTGTGCTGTGTGTGATTACTAAATTATGAAACAAAAAAAGCACTTGCAGCAGAATAGGGTTCTTAGTATCATGTTTTAGTTCTGCTCTGGGAAAGAGAGTGGCTCCTGTTTTTATTTTTTTTAAAGGTTTTGGAAAGAAGTAGTTTTATATAGATTGTGTGTGTGTGTGTGTGTGTGTGTGTGTGTGTGTGTGTTGGGAGGGGGAACGTATTTCAGGTTTCCTTTGAAACTGGTTGCCTGAGAAGTTGTTGAAAGGAAAACAAAATGATTCATTGTTGAATTGTCATTTTCCTCTGCCTCTTTTCCAAGGTTTGCTTACAATTTTTCTAGATTACAGACTTCAAACATTGATTTAAGCAAAATGTGTCCTTGAGAAACTGGGTGCCTTAAATGTTTCAGCATGTGTTGCTATTTTAAGGTACATTTAGAAAGTAGTTTTGTATGAATCCTGAAATAGCTGTCTCCAAAGCAATTTTTTAAACACAAAAAAGATAACTGGTAAAAGGATACTTGGTGGATTGCAAAATAAATGTTTAAATGTAACACAAATTAATGAGCATCCTATGCTTGGATTTGAAACAGTTTTGATAATTGCTTTCCATTTAAATAGAAACCTTTTTGTCTGGTGTACATTGTATTCTTTAGGCTGTCTGTTGGGGGAGGGGAGGGAGGCTGGATCTATACAATAATAAAATCATCTTTGGGTAGCTGTGTCCTTTCGTGAATTTGCTTGCCGAGTTAATTCCCCCGTAAATTATGAACCGGTTTTGATTTTAATGGCCTAGGCTGGATGGAAAGCTGGCTTTCAGCTCTCCCTGTTGTTGTTGAGGTCGAAGGGAAAAGAGGCAGAGAAACACACACACACACACACACACACACACACACACACACACACACAATACCAGGCTGAGGGCTCATTGTTCTTACATACACACATTCATTCTCTCTCTCCCATATTTGGGACTTGGTTTGCACAGACAAACACAGCTCTTTTTGGGAGAGAGGAGAGAAGATGGGGGGAAGGGTGGGTGCATTTCTTTTTTAGCTTTCTTTCACCCATCTGATGTCTGGCCTTTTCTGCAACCTTGTACGAGGCAGAAGAGTACATTGGAAACTAAAGGACACTCAAAAACATGTTCAGACGCCTCCGCCTCCCTTCCTTTCCTTTGCAATCCTGGTTTCTGCTGCTCGCTCCTTTTTGTGTTTGTCAAGATCAAATCCCTCTTAATATGTTGTGGCCTAATAGTCAGCTCTCGTATTCCTCATTGCCTCTGACTTTGTTGGAGACAGTGATTTGTTCAGTTGACTCTTATTGTAGTGAACGTGACCAGGGTCATCTTTGCTAGGTGAAAGTAGATTGTCTCAGTTAAGATTATTAAGAGTGTATTTGAGGTTGATATTTAGCAAAGTGTGTGTGGGTGTTGTGATTGATATATTAGTGGTATGATGGTTGGATAGGTTTGCTGGCTACTGAGCCGTCAGTGTTTTTTGTTTTGTTTTGTTTTATAAACGGGTTATAAGAAAAGATCTAGTTTTCTGCCTTTCGGGCTAGTGTAGAGGTTTCCATGAACACTGGCCAGGGAATAGGCTGAGAGAGTCCACCTGGGGTAAACCCAGCTCTGGGCAGAGGATGGAGGTTCATGTGAATAGGGTGGGTTGCAGAATAGCACCTTCTCCTGGTTAATTGCTTTAAGGATCCCGACGAAGAGGATGGGGGAGGGGATTACCGGCTGAGGCCTAATGATTTTCTTTTGAATGCAGCTGTAGTGCTTTTCTGCAAATGCCACTTCCCTAAGCTGCTAATACAGATGCCCTTTGACAGGCAATGCTGCATAGAGGCTTCTTACATTATTGGCTGTGCCTTGACATTAATTTGTCCTATTATCATAAGTATTTACACATTGTGACTTCTAAGACTTTTGAATTGCTATTGTTTTTTATGAGAAATTTAGTTTTTCTTGAAATACTAAAATAAGGGGGTTTATTTGTGTTTTTGGTGCTGGAAACTGTTACACATTGGCAGTCTTTTAAAAGTTTTTCAATATCATTAGCAAAAAGTCATATAGACTTGCCCTATAGAAAACTCCTAGCACTAGACCCAGAGTTTTTCCTCTGGGATTTAACAGGGGAAGGGTGTGTGTGTGTGTGTTTGTGTGTGTGTGTGTGTAGTGGGGGAGTGGGGTAAGGCAGGTGGAGGAGTAGGGGAAGAGCTCACTAAAATCAGCAATTTTGCATATGTAATGTTGCATCACAGTAGTGTTTTCAATGGTCATCTAAACATAAATAAAATTGTGTGATAGAATGACTTATATTCTATAAATTAGATTTAAAAAATTAGAAATCTATGGTGATGCAAGGAGAATTGACTCTGGGTGATGCACAGAATGTATTATTATAGATTATGTATTATAGAAATGTACACGTGAAACCTATATAATTTTACTAACCAATGTAACCCCAGTAAATTTAATAAATAAAAAAGAATTAGAGGTGAGAGAAAATGTGAAATGAGTGTGTACACAGATTAACATAGGCAGAATTCCTGCTCAAAGGCTTCTAAACCAAGGTGTAGTTTCAGAGACAGTCTGCTTGATAAATGCCTTAAAGGGTTTTAATTATCACAGCTCTTACCTCATCTCAATTGTTTTAATGTGATAAACTGTTAGAGAGGTTTGTAGGGGCAAGGGGAACTTAGTGTAGAAAGCTTCTTTTGTTCCAGGCCGTTTACTCATAGGAATGTGATTTCTGATTCATTTTGCTTTCAAAATTTAGAGCGTAATTTCCAAAGTTGTGTATCTTTGACAATGAAATATGAACAGTTCAAATGCATTATTTATTCAGTAGGAACAGAGTAAGGCAATTTCAATCCAATATGTTCTCTGCCAATGTTTTGTTTCAAGGTAACTAGAGTAACTAGACCCAATTTACAACAAAAGGGTAATCCAAATCAAGAAATAAATGCACTAATTACTTTTTCAACTTTGACTTATTGGTCAGTCAGAAAGATTTTAAAAAGTGGACAGTAACCACTGTCAGGTCCTGCAATAATTGTATGTAATACTGAACAGAAATATGCCAGGTGCTGTAAACACATACACACAAGAATATGACCTGTGCCTTTCAAAAATCCAGTGTATGTTGAATATTATTATGAATTTAGTAAGCAACCATTACTTTTAAAATTAGTTTTGAACCTTTAACATCTTGTTCAAATCTCAGTAATCAAAACAACATTTAAGTAGTAAAATAAATTGTATATACCAAGTTCTTTTGGGAATTGTGTGCTTTCCTAACTGCTTTTGGCAGCTTCTTTTTCAGTTGATTTAAAGGTTAAGATAGCAGAAAATTCAGATGTTTAAGTGAGCCATTAGGGTAACATAGCTGTGAACTTCATTACATGTACTCACACACCCTGAAACAATGCACTATTGTCTTACATAATCAGTTTCTGATAATGCTGTGCCCTTAGTTGATCACAGGGGCTTTCAACAACCAGGAATTCCTCTGGAATCATATTTAAGTGATTGTTAATTATTAGTATCTTGGTAATTGTTCCAAATCTACAGCTTTGTTTTTTCTATTTAAGTGTGATTTTGGTGAGCCTCTTGGCTTGTGCTTGGTTTCTTATTTGTCAGAGTTCTAGTGTTTCTTAAGTAATGAGGAGAAATGAAATGAGCATTTATGTGTTAGAAAACTGTTAAGATTCCTTAAGCCATTTTAATGAATATTTGACCACAAATAACTCAAAAATTTTCAAATACTAAATATATTTACTAGCTTGGAATTTTGGTTGGAATTGTGATTTCTGTAACTAACTCGTTGGTGTGCCAAGTAATGTAAGATGTAATACGTGTCTGTATATTAGGTAACTAGGGCAGATAGGATGGCTCATATAAGAGCTTTTTTTATAAAGTTATCTGTTTGTGTCAGTGTAAAATTGTTGTTTTTATTTGGTAAAACTTGTTAGTATATCATCAGCCATAAGCAGTGTGTTTAACTGTGAAATTTTTCCTTATATGGTTAAGCTACAAAATGATATGACTGCTAATTCATAGACCTTGGTATTTGAAGAATCCTCACAGTCTATTTGTCTTGGGCTTTTGCATCAGAAGTTGAAGCCACGGGTCACGACCCTAATTTTAAACTAGTTATATATGTATGTGTTCTGTAAGGGTTTTGGTTAGGCTGATTTGGTTGCAAGGAACAGAAAGTCTTCTAAGTTATTTCATGTGTTGGGGAAAAGTGGAACAGAAATGTAAACCTTGAGAGTCAGGCCTCACAGAAAAACAAGAACCCTGGGTTCCACTGGGCCTCATAGATGCTGGGACACTGGTAGGGACCCCACCCAGCTTTAGTGACCAGGTTGCCTTGTTGCCTCCTCAGCAGGAAGTTTGTTGAGCCATACCCTAGTGCTGGGGCTGTGTATGGTTGTCCAGGCTGTGGGTAGCATCAGGACACCACTCTAAAGGGAACAGTGTTTACATTGTGGGCCTGGTCTAACCTGAAAGAGAGCTTGTGAGCAAGCATGGCCATGCAGCAC